TGGTGTTGATGCAGCTGACCCCAGGGAAGCAAGGGTCAGCGTGAGCACACTGGGGGCAGAGGACAAAACAATCAGTAGTCAGGCCCGCCTGTGCTTTTCTCTCCACCCGGCTTCACTGCACTCTGATGCCTGCCCTTGGGCCCCTAAGCTCCCTCCCAGCAAGGTTTAGCTGGTCCCGTGCTCCCCATGTGATCCTCTGGTCTTCCCCAAGGGCTTTGTGTCCCCCCTCCTCATTCCTTTTCCAGCACCCCAATGTCCTAAAGCCCAGGCTCTTCTGCTTCTGATGGACATCCACCCCTCCTCCTTGGGCCAGATCTCTCTGCCCTCCCGGGCCACCATCCCCCACCTCATTGATGTCAGTGCAGTGGGTGCCATTGCCCTGCAGGCCAGGGGGGCAGGGCCCACAGCGGTAGCCGGGGTACTCATACACTTCCATGCAGTCCACGCCTCGGAAGCAGGGGTTGGGGCTGCAGTGGGAACGCTGCTCATGGAAGCCTGACAGAGGGGTGGGGGCACCATCAGAGCCACCTCAAGGTGGCCATTCACATCACCAGAAGTGGAGGCTGAAGCCTTGGGGTGGGGAGCACAGGGACGCCATCCAGAGCCTGCCCCACTCCCACTCACCGCACACCTGACACTCCATGATGGTGTTTCGGATCAGAGACATTTCCTTCACCTGGTAGATAGAAGGGTGGGGGCTGTAGGCTCTTTGCCTCCACCAGCTCCCCAGGATCAGGGCCACCCTCCACTGGTGCACTCAAACCTGGTCTCGGATATCATCCCGCAGCTCCACCAGGATCTGGTTGAAGAGGGTGAGCTGGGTGACCAGCGCCTTGGTCTGCTCTCCTGTCAGAGCCCCAGGAGCAGAGAAGCTCAGACCTGGGCGACAGCCCTGGACCCCCTCTGGGGCAAGAAATCAATTCCTGCCCCTGCTGCCCACCCCACCTTTAAACCCACCCAGCTCTTGGGCTAAGGATTTTGCTTCAGGCAGCCTTTCCTCCCTCCCACCTCCTCGACCTGCTCACCTAGGATGGACTGGAGCGCATTGGTCACTGTAGAGGAGAAAAGAGCATCAGAAGGCAGACATGGGAAGAGGGGGAGGGAACAGAGGCTGAGAAGTGTCTTGGAACAAGGCAGCACCAGCCCTCCCCCAAGGATACGGACCCTCCAAGGGGTTGCCTGGGTCACAGCCCAGGTCCTCCTGGCTCCCAGGTCTGGGAGTGGCAGAAGGGATCCCAGGGAGAGGTGACCCAGGGCAGGGCCAGGGCCCCAGTCCACTCCATTTTCAAGCCCCTCACCTGCGCCAAGCTTCTGGGAGAAGTCGGCGTTTTATTTAACTAAGAACCTCTGATCATCCTTATCAGAGAGACTAGGTGGATGGACAATGCTCAGAGGAACTGCTGGTAGGTGACAGCCACCGGCAAAGGCCGACCCAAGTTGCCCTCTGGGTCACCACAACCAAGCTAACTCCCTCACCCCCACACAGGTTGCTTCGGGGTCCATTCTTCTCAGATGGGCCTGTTTTCCGAGCCACCCCAGTAGGTGTGCTGACCTGAACAGGTGCCTGTTCTGACCCACACCTCCCTGGATGGCTGTGTCACTTGGAGATCATAGAGCCAGAGGTGAAGGAGATTGGGGGCCACAGGGTCAGAAGCCCCAGGAACCAGTGAGCCAAAGGAATGCGTTAAGGGGGATGTCAGGGAGATGAGAATTGACAAAGGTCAGAGGATGTGATCTGGGGTCCAGAAGGTTAGCTAACAGAAGTCTCCATGTTACCTGCACTGTGGATGGACTCGTCCCCCTGGAAGGGACACTCACTCAGGGCTCCCACCCGGGCCATGGACCCGCCCAGAATCATTTTCATAGATTCCACGAAGCCCTGGGGGGAGGACAGCAGCAGGGTAGGGTGGTAGACCCGCCAACACCTCCTTCCCACTGCTGCAAAATGTTTCCATTGAAGCTTGGGGCCCCCTCCCTGCTCACCTGCATCCTCAGATAAGCCTTCTGCCCAGTCCGAATCTCCAGCCCGTCCACCTCTGCTGGGGGAATGGGGGCCATTCCAGGGAGGCCAGCATGCTGGTCTCCCAGCTTGCAGTCCACATAGAGCTGCAGGGCAGGGCTGGGTTGGGCCGGGCCTCGGAGACGCAGGAGAGCTGTGTGTGTCCGCCCGTCGGCCAGGCCTGCTTGCTGCAGGTTCACTGCATGGACTTTGCCATCCTCCCGCTGGTACCGTACCAGCACTGCCCAGAAGGGGAGGTTAGTATGGATACTGTCTCCCAGCTAAGCCTTGGATCACCTCTTCCGGATAGCACACCCATCATCCCCTAGTCAGCTAGGTATCTCTCATCACCTTGTATGTGATAGGTGAGGAACAATAAATGTTCCTCAAACTGGTTCGAAGACTAGAACTTCCTTAGTCTTCAGTGACATCAGATCACTCTGTCCCTTGCTAGAGTGGCAGCTAGTTCTGTACCCACTGGACTGTGCCAGGGATCTGAGAGATTATTGGGACACAGCAATGTGCCTCTCCCTCCCCAAGGCAGCCCCAAGTACAACATGCCCTCCCTACGAGTATCAGGCCTTGCTTTATTGCTGCGTACCTGGCCTTCTGAGGCACCTCCTAGGCACCCCATTCCAAGTGCCTCATGGTGCCCAAGCACAGCCAGATGGATCCATGCCCCACCCCTCAAGAGCCCGAGGAGAATTAAGAGGGATATGGGAATGGAGGATGAGGGAAAGTGCTTGAGGGGATCACTGTGGCAGGAAAGGAGATGTGCACTAGTCACCTTTGTTAATTTTGCCCACAACAGAGGCCTCCAGCCATCGTGTGTTGTCTTGCCGAGAGTAGAGGCCAAAGAGGACACCACCCTGCTTGGGGGGCAGGCGGAAGGTGGACAGGAGGTAGATGTCCCCAGCAGTGAGCAGGGCTGCCCGGATCTTCTCCGCTACAGCTGTCATCTGCCGAGACTCGCCCACAGTCAGCAGGTCAATTACTAGCCAGGTCAGAGAGAGGGGTCAAATGCTAAATAAGGCCTGCCCTTTCTCCTGAACCCTGGGGGGTGGAGCATCCTTCATCATTACCCCCCGCCTCCACCCCTAGGCAGCGTTAGTCACCTTCCTGAAATTCAACCCTTGCTGGCATCTAACTCAACTCGAGGAGGCTGCCTTCCCTTCCTGGAGGTTGCCTACTGCCACCCTCTGGGAACCCGCAGGCCTGAGGCTCTCTTGGAAATACAGAAGCAGCGCCCGGCACACTGGAGATGCCCCCAGCAGGTGGCGCAAGGGAGCTATTGTGCTGATCCCACGCAGAAGTAGCACCTGGTGCCCACAGGGCAGAAATGGAAAAGCACTTTCTAGGCTGCTGGGTTTGGCTCATTCCACACCCAAATGCCCCTCCTCCCATCCTGGGGGCTCAGCACATCCACTTTGGATGAGCAGAGCTGCCCACGGAGGACTCCAACTCTCCTCCTGTCTGCCTCTGTCCCACGGGAATGGAGGACCCAGCTCTTCTGCCTCCTGTGTCCTGGCCAATCTGTGGTTTCCCTTCCAGCCAGTAATGAATCTGTGCCTGTGTCATCTGTTTCAGTTACCTCTCCCACACCCACAGGCCCATCCCACAGTCAGACCTCCGGGAGAGCCCAGACCTCTCGGTCCCCACCCCCACCTTGTCCCAGGGCAGCCAGGAGCCCCCAGGATGAAGAATCCCACTTTGCACTGCCCTCCCAGACCCTGGGGTGCCTGGGGATGCTCAGCCACCAACCCGGCAGAGCAGCCCTTGCACCCAGCTCCTGAGTCCTCTGCCCTGGCTTCGTGCTGACCCTGGCCAGCTCCTAATCACCCACTACCCTCTGGTGTTCACTCCTCCCCCTATGGCCAAAATTTCACCACCTCTTCCCCCTGTTCAATTTCAGGACTCTCTCCTTGCCCACATGTTTCCTGCTCCTAGGCTGGAGGCAAATGGGAGCAGAGGCCAAGAGGGGTCTAAGAGGATGGACCCTGGCTTACCCTGCAGGTCCTGACTGGCAGATGCGAAAGTGCAGAGGAGGAGAAGAGCCAGGGCCCCCCGAAGTTCCTGCGTCTCCATGCTGCTCAGCTGGCTCACTACCCCTGGCAGGCAGGCGGCTGGGAGGGGAAAAGGCTAGGCGGAGAGAGCAGGAGCGGGGGGCGGAGGGACTGGAAGGGGGAGCCGAAGGGGGGGGCCAGCAGGCGGTGGGGGGGTGGGGGCGAAACAAAGAGCTGCCAATCAGCCTGGAGGCATCCCCAGCTCTGGGACTCAGGGGCACTGGGGAAGAGTCTGAAGGCCTTCCCGCCTCCTGCCTTTCCCTAACGGTCCTCTCTCCCAGGTGCCTACCTCTCTCTCACCCTCCCGGCATGTCGCTGCTGGGGGCCACTACCGAACGCTACTTGTTTTCTGTAAGTTACAGTTGGGGAAGACAAGAACCCCAGGCCGGGGCAGCGTCAGACAGTGGGCCTTATTCCACAGCTGGCAGGAAAGGATGCCAAGGGAGTGGTGGAAACCAGCTTGCTATCGTGCTCAGGGGATGCCCACATGGCTTGAAATTTACTGCTCTGACGAAGCAAGTACTTTTTATTAAGGTGGGGGTCCTCCGACACGTGCCTCTTTCCTAGGGAAACGTGGAGGCCTCCGCTGGGAACCGCAGGGCCAGTTGAACACAGTGGCCAGTGAAGAGGTTGGAAGGAAGGACTCCGGAACGAGCAAAGGGCCAGCGGGGCCAAGAGGGAACCAGGGCACAGGCCGGGGGGCCGGGGCCGGGGCCGGGCCCGGGCCGGGAACACAGGGGGCACTGGCGGGCGGGCCATGACCCGGATGAAGTGCAGGGGCGCCTCGGTTCCCGTCACCACGGCAACGGCCGCGAGCCCCACCCCCTCCCCCACCCAGGCCCCAGCCCGACCCGGCTCCGGCCGCCGCCGCCCCTGTTTTGTTTCCATGGCGACAGGCGGCGCGGGGCCGGCTCCAAACATAACGCGCTGTGGAAAACATGCGGCTCGGGGGACCCCCCCGCGGCCCCTGCTCCGGGCCGAGCCCCGCGGGGCCTTGGCGCGGCCCAGGCCGCGTGCAGATCTGCGAGAGCCCCCAGAGCCGGCCCGGGCGCACAAGACCCGCCTCGCCGGGACCCGCCGCGCCCTCGGGGCTCCCGGCCTCGCCGCAGTCACGGCGCCCAGCCTCCGCGAGGAGGGCCCGGCCGACAACCCTTCCCCCCTTCGGGAGCCGCCTCTGGTGCCGGCGGCGGCCGCCCTCCCCAGAAGCCCTCGGCTCCGCCCCGTGCAGCCCCGCCCCGCCTCGAGGCTCCCTCCTGCCCCCGCCCCCGGCGGCCCTCTGGGCGCGGCGGGGGGCGGGGCCGCGCGGGGGCGGGCGGAAGCGCGGGGGAAGGTGCTTCCGGGCCAGAGGGCGGGCAAGATGGCGGCGCCCATGGAGCTGTACTGCTGGTCGGGGGGCTGGGGGCTACCGTCAGTGGACCTGGACAGCCTGGCCGTGCTGGTGAGGGGTGGCGCCGTAGTCCTGTGCTGCGCCCTGGAGGACTGGGGAGGGACTCGAACTGACCGGTCGTCCGAATTTTGCCAGGGCGCCTCAGCACGGGCGCACTGGGGGAAACTGAGGCAATCAAAGGCTGTGCCCGGCCGATAGGGGCTCAACGCCCTATGGCTTAACAGCCCGGGTTTTGTGCAGCCAGAGCAAGAGGTCTGGTCGGGGGTTCAGGAAATAGGTCTTAGTCCTTGCTCGTCCATTGTTCTTTTACTGGCCGTGTGACCTTGGAGCGATCCCTTGTGGTCTCTGAGCCCTGTTTCTTCATCGAGAGCTTTACTGAGTCCGGACGATCTCAGGGTTCTCAGGCTTGGCATTCCTGTCTTCTCAGGCTCCCTTTTCTCCTTCTCCCCCCGCCTCACTAAACAGCATTTGCTGAGATTTATTGAACCAAGAAGCTCACCAGCACGTTCTGTGGAAAGAGCTTTGGAGTCAGACTAATTCACTTCATTCGTTTACTCACTCCTTCATTTAATAAGCACTTGTTGGGCCTCTTCCAAATACCACACTTGGACACGCAAAGATGAATAAGACTTAGTTCCTACCCCGTAGTTATTTGCAGAGAGGCAGACACGTTAGCAAACGCGCCTACTGTGTAAGGTGTTCTGGTTCTAAGCTTTAAGTAGGAACAGGCCACAGAGACTCCCAAAGAAGGACACAGTCAGTGCACCTGAGAAAAGGGATGATGAGAGTTAGGAAGAAGTTGGGAGGCTCTGCGTACATCAGGGAGATGGCAGCAGAGGAGATGGGGGAAGGCTCTTTCTGGCAGACCTGACATTAGAGACAGGTCCATGGTTTCTCCAAGCCTGTGTGGCCCATGGTGAAACAGCTGATGTCCACCTCTTTTGTGAGGCAAGTACTAAGCGTAGCACAGAAGGAATTCAGTGAGTGTTATTTCTCTTGTTGATTCCCCTGTGGGGGCCTGTCTGCCTTCTGCTTCCTTCCCTGCAGACCTATGCCAGGTTTACTGGCGCCCCTCTCAAGGTGCACAAGATTACCAACCCCTGGCAAAGCCCTTCAGGTACCCTATTCTCCCGGGGGGGCGGTGAGGGAGCTGAGCAGGAGACGGGCAGGAATATGCTGTACGTTCATATGGACAGGCAGCTGAGGGTCTGGTGGGCCTCCTGTCTTCTCAATGTCAGGAACTCTGCCCGCCCTTCGGACCAGGCATGGAGAGGTCATCTCGGTACCACACAAGATCATCACCCACCTTCGAAAAGAGGTAGGTGGCTCCGTGGGTAGGAGGGCTGCCAGTGAGAGGAGTTCAGTCATTTCAGCACAACACACATTTTTTGATAAAGCTGAGCTGGATGCAGGTGACCCAGAACTTCAAGGAGCACCTAGTCCGATGGGAGAGGCACACACAGTGCTGCTGGCCAGGTGTTCAGCTGGGGCACTGGGGAGGCCTCTGGAAGCTCAGTGCCTTTTGCCTGCTGGGCAGGGAGGGGTGAGTGGGCAGATGAAGGGGAAGGAGGGCAGAGGACAACATCAGCTCAAATGAGGCCCCCAGAGGTGGCTCCTGTCCTCTCAGGGACCGAGTTAGGCTGAGTAATGGGGCTCAGGATGGACAAGGCATAGAGCCAGCATGGGGACATTGAGAAAGTTAGTACAGGACGAACAGGGGCACCTTGACTGTGTGATCTTGGGCAAGTCCTTTCACCTCTCAGGGATGTAAGTTCCTTGTTTGTAGAGCAAGGGGGCTTAGCCAGGGCTCCTCTTTCACCAGAATACTAGTCAGATAGGGCCTCTTCTTCATTTCTGCTTTCCCAAACGTGAAGGACCCGAGGATTCAGTATAGGCTTGGGAGGCATGGAGGGAAAGGACCCAGGTAGAAGGCAGAGCTCCTGGCAGGGACAGGACCTCTGCCTTGACTCTTTATGTCTGGGCACAGCCTTTCTGGTTTCCAGTTTTCTCCTAACACAGCCACAGTGAGAGAAGATTCCACAGGGAAGAAACTGAGGCTCAGAGAGATGGTTTTCTTTTCTTTTTCTTTTTTTTTTAATATTTATTTATTTGTGAGAGACAGAGAGAGAGAGAGAGAGAGGCAGAGACATAGGCAGAGGGAGAAGCAGGCTTCATGCAGGGAGCCCAATGTGGGACTCCATCCCAGATCCCGGGATCATGCCCTGAGCCAGAGGCAGACGCTCAACCATTGAGCTACTCAGGCATCCCGAGAGATGGTTTTCTAAGGATCATGTTCCAGAGGTTATGTGGGGACAGACCTTCCTCAGGATGTGGAGAAGGTTGCTGGAGACCAGACACTGGAGCCTACCAAGGCGTGGCAGACTGAGACTTGGGGTACGGTCAGACCGTGTGTGGTGGCAGCACAGAAGAAAGAGCCAAGTCCTGGGCTTTGAGAGAACCCGCAGCGGGGCCCAGGCATGAGGATGGCGTCCCCTAGTTCTGAGGGCCACACTGCATCTGAGCTCAACTCTGCCAGCCGTGTGATATACAGACAGGGGAAGTCCCTGTTAGAAAGTGGCTGTCAGCAGGCGTGCTGCCAGCTTTCCGTGGAAGCTCCGGGAGCTGCTCCTGGTTTGTGGCTGGGCCTTCCTCCCTCCCAGCAGTGGGCACCCGACCTTGATGGCCAGCAGGCTCCAAGGCCCAGGCTTTCCGCCAACAGCAACAGGCTGCAGTATGGGCCCAGGCAGGGGGGGCCTCAGTGGGAGAAGTGCTTGTTCTGCCTCTGCTATACTCAGAGGCCAAGAGGGTGGTGCTGGACAGGATGCCTCTCTCCTTGGGGAAGTGCCCCCTGGAGCCTCCTCGTGTCCACCTCATAGACGTCTCCTCCACAGAAGTACAATGCAGATTATGATCTGTCGGCCCGGCAAGGGGCAGACACGCTGGCCTTCATGTCTCTGCTGGAGGAGAAGCTGCTCCCGGTGCTGGTGAGTGCGCCTGGACCTCCAGTGGCTGTGGCTGGTGGGGGGCGGTGGGGGAGTCAGCGACACCCACGAAGGCCTCCCTAAGTCAGGCAGGTGCACTGGCTCAGACCTGCCTCATCCTTCCTACTGCCCGATCCAGATACATACTTTTTGGGTAGACACCAAGAACTATGTGGAGGTGACCCGGAAGTGGTACGCGGAGGCTATACCCTTTCCCCTGAACTTCTTCCTTCCCGGCCGCATGCAGCGGCAGTTCATGGAGCGGCTGCAGCTGCTGTGCGGGGAGCACAGCCCAGAGAATGAGGAAGAGCTGGAGAAGGAGGTACCTCTGGGGCAGGGGGCTCTGTAGGAGAGGAGCCCCAAAGATGATGGTCAAGAGTGGGGGTGCCTGGGATGGGAGGTAGCTCTGTTCCCACAGCCACAAGCCTGCCTCATGTCCTCCCTACAGCTATACCAAGAGGCCCGGGAATGCCTGACCCTGCTCTCTCAGCGCCTGGGCTCTCAGAAGTTCTTCTTTGGAGATGCGTGAGTCTGTCTTCAGGGCAAATATACGTGGTTTGGGAGAAGATGCGGGTTCATATGTTGCCACAGGGACTGGGGTGGTTCAGGCGCTGGACGAGAGGTCCTCAGTACAGACCCTGGGCCTGATGACAGTGGGGCTGTGTGTGTGTGGGGTGGGAGGGCTGCCAGGCACAGGAGGGGCTTGCAGGGCGGTGGGGCACTCAATGGGCCCTTTATGCAGCCTCAGGATAGAGTCCCATTCAGGGCCAAGCTGGCGCCACCTGGGGAGCTCTCGCCACACCAGGCCCAGAACTGGGTGTCTTCTCCTCCCCCCGGGGGCCCTCTGCTGCCAGAGCCCACCTCCTGGGCTTGCTTTTCCTCTAATGCTCTCCTCGCCCCTTCTCTCTGTGCTCCAGCCCTGCCTCCCTGGATGCCTTTGTCTTTGGCTATCTGGCCCTGCTGCTGCAGGCCAAGCTGCCCAGTGGAAAGCTGCAGGCCCACCTGCGGGGGCTGCAGAACCTCTGTGCCTACTGCACACACATCCTCAGCCTCTACTTCCCCTGGGATGGAGGTAAGGGGCAGACAGGTGAAAGGGTAGGCACGAGCCATGGGGAGGGTGCGCAGGGGTCTAGGACGTAGCCCTCCTGCCCACCTTCCTTCCTTGTTCCTCAGCTGACATGCCACTCCCACGCCAGACACCAGTGGGCCCAGAGACGGAGGAGGAACCATACCGGCGCCGGAACCAGATCCTGTCTGTGCTGGCAGGACTGGCAGCCATGGTGGGCTACGCCTTGCTCAGTGGCATTGTCTCCATCCAGCGGGCCACGCCTGCTCGGGCCCCTAGCACACAGTCCTTGAGCATAGCTGAGGAGGATGAAGACGAATGACTTGTCCTCATGCTCTCAGGACTGAGTTTTCTACTCTCGTACATTCCAGAGGCCCCTGTGTTTCCCTGTTGTTGGTACGGCTGGAAGTGGGCTGCTGCTCCCATAATAAACCTGTCCACGCTGACTGGAATCAAACATTCTCTTCTTTAAGGGGCCACCATGTCTCCTAGGTGGGGTGCAGGGGGTCATCAGGGGACCTGAGCTGGCCTGCTGGCACCCAGCTTCCCTAGCTGCCTGTGCCCTTGTACCATCCCTGCTGCTGCTCAGCCCAGGAGAGGCACCCAGCTCCCCATTGGGGCCCGGTCTTCCTAATCTCCTTTCCTTAGCCACCCCCACCCCTAGCTTGTGTTTGTACAGACAGTGAGCTCACCCTGGGCCTGGGCCCAGTTTCCACGGGAGCCAGCACATAGCACACACTTACACAGCTTGGGGGTAGGGCTACTGGGGCTTCCCTGCCCTCTCCCAAGGGGCCTCTAGCCCTCTGGCCTGCCCACCCCCAGCATGAGCTGGGGGAGAGTGAGTCACCCAAACCACTGCTCCCGGGCTTACATCACCTATGTTCACCCCAGCCCTCCTAGGTCCTCTTTAGCCACAGACAGCATGGGAGCCAACTGTCCTTTTAATGCCCCAGCTGAGCCCCAGCCCTGCTTGGGCATCTGCCCCAGTCACTGGCGATGCCACAGATAGGTATGAATGGAGTAGGCTGGAGAGAGCGTCTCCACGAAGCCCACGGCAGGGTCCTTGATGGTGAGAGGCACATCCTTCGAGGACCTGGGGAAGGAAAGAAAGAGAGGCTGAGCGCTTGGGCCACCAAAGCTGCCGTCCCAGCCCCAGCCCAATTCCCAGGCCCTGCCACTCTCACCGGTTTAACACAACCACAACTGCAGAGCCGTCAGGACGTATCAGTGCCACAGTGTCCAAGCCATTCTTCTTGCTGGCTGCCAGCCCCACTCTCTGGGAGCCTTCTGGGATGAACTTGCTGAAGTGGGAACAAGCATGGTCAGGGACTCCAGCCTCACCCCTCCGGGCTGGAGCCTACTCCCTTGAGAGCAGCCCGTCAGCCCCTCACCTGAGAAGTCTCTCTACCCACTGCCCATCCCAGAGCCCTTCCCATCCCCTGCATCGGGTATTCAGGGCTTGTCGGCTGCCACCTGCTCACTTCCCGCCTGGATGGGGCAGGAGGGACAGCGGTGCCTCTCCCCAGCTCCCACCCTAAATGTCTGTGTGGGGCCACATAAGCCCAGTGCAGGAGATCCCAGGCCTGATGTGGAGTCGGGGCACCTGCCCTCCACTCACCTGAAGTGGCCAAGGTGGTAGAACATGGGCTGTTTATAGAACACATCTTTGGTGATGTCGACGATGATGGGGCTGTCGACAAAGTTTCGCACCCAGTTGGGCCCTCCTTCCAGGTTCAGGGCAAGGTTCCAGTCGGTCCAGCCAACCACATGGTAGAGGAGGTTCTGGGGTGGGAGCAGGGCAGAAAGAAATGCTCCACATGGGGTCCCCGGAGGATATAGTTAAGGGATGCACAAACGAAACAAGCTACAATGGTGCCCTGGCCCTGGGAGGGGCACCCTACACCCTCAATACCTAAGGAGGGGGATGGTGAGGACAGAGGCATCAAAAGAGAAGCTGAGGGATCAGGGCAGATGTGACTGCCCTAGATGCAGGCGTTAAGGGAGGGTAACGGGGTATGCATATCTGTGAGGCGAAGGCACCATAGGGAATCATGGCATCCCAACATGTGCCCTAAAGAGCAAATCAGCTGGACCAGCTGGGGAAGGGGCCTTCTGTTGGTGAGAGGAAGAGGGTCTGTGGTGGTCTGCTTGGCAGGAGGGGCTGGGGGCTCACCGTGATGATGCTGTGGCTATACTGCACCCCTCGGTCCCAAGAGCCCAGCCGCACACTCTGCTCCCAGAACTTGGAGCCCACGCAGGCCTCTGAGGCAAAGAGCATTGTGTTGGGGAACAGGCGGTGTGTCTCCCCCAGTGTGGCTTTCGCTGGAGCCAGAAAGTCCAGGTACCAATGTACAGCAATGCCATGGACGTACTTGGCTGCCTCTGGGTCTGCCAGTACCTGTACAGGGAAGGCCAGAGATGCCTGGGGAAAGGGGCCACCAAAGCTGAGCCTGGCATGGAGGGTTCTGGAAACAGCACTGGGGACCGGAGGAAGGGGCAGAGGGATGCAGGCACCTAGAGGGACCCCTGGGGCCCTGGAGACGTAGAGAAGGTCAGCACCTGTCAGCCCCTATCAGCACCCAGGGGAGCCACCAGGGTGCCTGGCTCCAGCCCAGGAAATTCTAGGAGTCAGGAGTTGGGGCAGGGAAGACACTACAGGAGCCAGCCACCTGGATGCCAGATTCGGGATCACTGAGATAGCCCTGGAGACCCTGGGCCTTACCACCTGGGCCCAGTGGGGTAGCAGCAAGCGCTGGTCATCTAGTATGAGCAGACGGATGTCATGGTGTGTACTGTTGGCCAGGGCAGGACCCAGGTCCCGGGCAATGAAGTCTCGCTGGTGTTCAGGGGTGAAGCCCAAGCACTGGAAGGGGTATCCGCTGAAAAGCCCTGCGGAAGGCTCATTCTCTGCCGTCACTGCCCAGAACTGCAACTTGTGCTCTGCATAGGCATCCAGGAACCTAGCAGGGGAGAGGGTGTGAGTGTGCCTAGCCAAGGAAGGCAAGCGAGACTCGAGACTAGGAAGCCCATCGAGGTGGGGGGAACCGTCAGGCCAAATCCAAAAGGCCCAGGAGGTAGAAAGGTGACCTGAGGACTCAGATCTGGGGGTGACCCAGGCCCAGGGGTGGGGCGGAGATGAGGGTCTCCAAGAGGGGATCTGGTCCAGACCCCATGGCCTTGCAGTTCCCTTACTTAACAAAGTATCTGGCCCACGTCTGGTGGTAGAGATCCCCAGGCTGACCCTTGAGTGACCCCTTCCCATTCACTGCCCCGTTGGTCTTCAGCCAAGTGGGTGATGTCCAGGGACTGGCGAAGAGTGACACAGGGTGCTGGGCCAGTTCCAGGGCTTGATGAATCAGGGGTATCTAGAGAATGGAGGTGAGGGCAGAGATACCCAGAGCTGGAACATGGATAGACTGGCCCAACCAGTGCATCAGGCCTAACCATTGGCCCCTGCCCTGCCCACCCCCTCCCCTTGAACACAACAGAGAGCAGGGGGCAGGTTCCAGCTCTCTCTGCAGACTGCTGTAGCCTGAGGCTTCTCTCCCAGCAGCCATCAACTCCCCAAGGGCCGAGTACCCACCTTGAGCTTGATGTCTTCCTCAGGGAGGCTGAAGTTATGCAACTGGAAGTCATCATGGGTGTCATCATAGGTGTAGGTGCGGATGGAGAAGTCACAGCTGGCCATGGGTACCCGGATGATGTTGTACTCGATTCCTGTAGAAAAGGCAGGCCAAGCTATGAGGGTCTGGGTCAGTGGAAGCACGTGAGACCTAGCCTGCCACTTACTAGTCCTAAATTATGACTGAGGTAGGACAAAGGGAGCCTGGGCTCCCGATCTGAGCCTGTAGGGCCAGGCCTTCTGAGCCTCAGCAACTCTAAGCACTCAGTGAGAGTCAGGCAGGACAATCTTACTTCACTGGGCATTAAGAGAGGACCCAAATGTTGGGGATGGGTGGAAGTCACGGTCAATGGAAAGGTCAAAGTGTCAATCACACTATGTGATCATGTTCCCCTTCTCCTCACCTTCTGCAGAGAAATAGGATTTGAGTAGCAAATTCCGGGCAGGGGGTGACAAGGCGAGGATGTTGAGGGCAGCTGCATCCGTCATGGCCCCTCCAAATCCCTTGACCTTCTGGAACTTCTGATCTGGCTGCAGGGTCAGTAGCAGCCCTGAGAACGTGCAAGGCAGTGGAAGGGTCTCAGTGCCCCAGGGAGGAAAGTGTGGTGGTCACCGGTGTGATTCTGCTCCAGGGAGATCCCAACCTGCATTTGGGGGTGAGGGGTGGAGTCACCTGTGCCCGTGTGGTTGGCCCGGATGGTCCCCAGACTCAGCTCCATTCGGCGCCCGCTGCGTGTGCTCTCATACCGGCTGAAGGTGCCAGGGGCAGGCAGGGCCAGGGGGTCAAGAGAGTCACAGTATGTGGCATTGCAGACACAGACTACTGAGCTGTAGCCAAAGCTTTTAGGGATGCAGGGGCGGGCACCTGGGAAGGAAGGAGCACAAGTCGAGGCTATAGGATGAAGATGGAGAAGGGACATGCTGGTTGGGATCCTGATCTCAAAAGCCCTCTCGCTGTGCCCCCACCCCAAGGTGGGTCCCCATCACTCAAAAGGGTTTATGGAACACCTACTGGAGCTCCAGTATACCGGAAGACGACCAAGGACCCTCAGGCAGAAGGAGCCCGGGGCTCTCCGTGACTCACTCACCTGATACCCATGATACTGCCTGAAGTAGAAGCAATCCCATGAGGCTGGCAGCCATGATGCTTACCCTGCCCAGGGGCTGGAGACGGTCCTGAGAACAGAATGACGAGTGGCTCGAAGGCAGGCCCCTCTCTGTCCCCCAGCGGCTCCCCTTTGGGCCGCGTGCCCACAGCCCAGTCTCCCACCTTCCTTTAACTGGGACAGCACAAGGCCCACAGACACTGGGTGCTGCCCACCCCAACCAGGCTCTTCTCCCCTCTTCCCACCTACCCCTCCATCAAAGGGCCACGATTGCCTGGGTTGGAAGAGACTGTCATTCATTGAATTCCAGAGTCTGGAAGGCCAGGATTCCAGAAGCAGCGTGACAAGACCAATTGGGAGCACTTACCTCTCTGGGAGGACTGGAAAGTTCCATCACCAGGTGAGGGGACAGCAGGGTTCCCAAGACTCGGAAGGATAGAGGATCCACTAAATAAAAACAGGGATGCAGGTGCCAGCGGTAACTATAGACACCGGATTAAACCTGCAGGTTTAATTCCGGCAGAAAGGAGTGAATGGGTCATGTGATGACTCTGGGCGAGTCACATGATACAGGAAGTGAAGCAACTGCAACCATACTTGTAGAGGGCGGCAAGCTTCCTCCTGGCTGTTGACTACCGGTCTTATGAACTTTTGGAACGCACATTTGGATGACAACCTCAGGAAGAATCTAAATCAAAGATCCGAGTGCAAAGTGAAG